CATCAACAGCCGGCCACTTACCGCTGAACATCTGAACGACCCATCTGGACCTGAACCACTAACCCCGAACCACATTCTGACTATGAAATCAACAATCATTCTTCCCCCACCTGGACAATTTGTCAAACAAGATCTCTATCTACAAAAGAGGTGGCGCCGAGTCCAGTATTTGGCCAATGAGTTTTGGAACAGATGGAGGAAAGAATATCTTCTCAACCTGCAACCAAGACAGAAGTGGTGTAAAACCAGAAGGAACTCAAAGGTCAATGACATCGTCCTTCTCCATGACGAACAGACACCACGCAACAAATGGAAACTAGCAAGAGTCACTGAAGTCTACCCAGGGAAAGATGGTAGGGTCAGAAAGCTGAAGCTGCTAGTTAGCCACACCACATACGATAGCAAAGGGAAAGCTACAACGAGTACAGTGTATTTAGAGAGACCTATACACAAAGTTGTTACTTTGATAGAAGCAGATTAGATGCAATACAGTGAGTTTATTTAGCACGTACTTACCTTTGAGAAATGTCCTTTGATGATATGATATGGTACCTGCTATAACTCTAAGAAATCCCACATACTGTTAGTTTGTGTAATTTGGTGGGAGTGTAAATGTATCCATGATGATGCAGACAGTTTATTGATATAATTCATTGATATTGATATATGTATATATAGTTATTTACATTTCATATTAATTATTGTAAATATGATTGTATCTTTATATTGTTTTACTGAGTGACACATGGTTTGATTTATTTATGATTATTCTCATGATTATATCTACAAGCTTGTTCTTGCGCTGTTTTGAGAAGACGTTATTTCACAAACGTCCGTCTTTCATGGAAATCAACGGAGGTTTTTCACATTACTCACAAACATTATAAGCTGAAGTTTGTTGAGTAAAAACCAAGGACAGCATCAAGGACAATCACCTCTTAATTCACGGATAATTCCCTCATTGTGGTATGCAGCCAACGAGTTTTCACGGTGCTAATGAAGATTTGGAGGCTTCATTAAATCAGTTCAAGAAATCCATTTGTGCTCGTCGTGCCTGAGGGGAATTACACAACAGTTTATATGAATTGAAAGCTCAATTTTCCGACTATTTTGAAAAATTGTTTGAGATTGGTCCAAGGTTGAGGGAGATCTCATTGGTCTCTGTCTCCATCTCCCAATACCCTCTCGCCTGTGTCCTAACTTTCAGACATTTCAACATCTTTTTCTGAATCCTTCATTGTAGCATGGCATAGACAATTAATGTTTGCAGTTTGAAGAACACCTGCTTGCTTCTGATGATAGCTTTAGCTATGAAAACAGGAGCTTTCCGAAGCTTTCTAGGTTAAAACTAAGTGTGTGATAACTGCCATTCATACAAAGGGTTTGTTGCATATTTGTAACAATGGGTGTCCATGGGTTAAATTACTTTTATTGTGCAATTATTGTTAATGGCAGCCATCATGTTAAAGCATTAAGAAAGTTCTACATATGTATGAAACTATGGGTTCTGTTATTTGCAAGGAAGAATAGGAAACATTTTTTGCATGATAACCAACATTTGCAGTTCTGCTGCTAATTTGCAACATTTATTTCATGACACAATTTATTTTACATGCGATGTCAGTCAAATCACATTTGCCTCTTAAATCATATTATTTCTAATGATTACTATGAATCAGGAGTCACTATAATGATCAGATAAATATATTGATATTAAAATCAATGCGAAGCATGCGCTCTACCACTGAGCTACATCCCCCATGAAATAGTCATGAACAAAATCTGAAAAGAATAGAGTGCTATCACTATACTCTAGTCTTATAGTCTACTAGAAAAATATAATTGTGTAGGTTCTACAAGTATGGAATAACACTGAATTGTTATTTGGAATAGCAATGAAACAGAGATCTGCCTTGTATCTTCCATTGTATCTCTTCGTAGTGGGTAGGATCCGATTCAAGTGACCAGAAGAATTTTCTCCCTGCTCTGACCTCTGGGTATTACACCCAACAGTTTTGTGAAACTCAGTGATACAGAATATTTATTCCAGGTCTACATTTTTTTTTGCTTTTTCATTATACTATTTATGACTGAAAATGACTTTTACTTAAGTCTTTTTAAATTGAAAGCTAAAATTTCCACTATTTTGAAAAAAATTTTGAGATAGGGCCAAGGATGAGGGAGGTCATGTTCGTCTCGGTCTCCATCTCCCAATACGTTCTCACCTGTGTCCGACCTTTCAGACATTTCACCATCTTTTTCTGAATCCTACATTGTAGCATGGCATAGACAATTCACTTTTGTAGTTTGAAGAACACCTGCTTGCTTCTGATGATTTACTTTAGCTAACCAATGAGTGTTTGCGTTATATGACTTATCCAATCACAGTGGTTTTCACTAGATGTGGATGGCGCCAATGATCTGAGTTGGATGGCGCACATGACCTGAAATAACTATTTATAAACATTGAACCGAAGCCAAGAGTAAAGAGTAACGTTTGTTATAAAAGTGTAAGGAATTTTTGGTTGAGTAACAATGTAGGTATATTACAAGTTTGTGACAACATTTATAATAGTTAATGGTAAACCATTAGGCCCTAATGATTAGGGACTAGGTGTGATGAAAACAGGAGCTTTCTGAAGCTTCCTGGGTTCACAATGAGTATGTAATTACTGCCACATAGCACATGCTATCCTTGCTGTGTACATAATACAAAGGGTTTGAGGCATATTTGTAACAATGGGCGTCCATGGGTTAAATTACTTTTATTGTGGAATTATTTTTAGTGCCAGCCATCATGTTAAAGCAAAAAAAAAGTTCTACATATGGAAGAAACCATGGGTTCTATAATTTGCACAGAAGAATAGGAAACATTTTATTGCATGATATCCAACATCTGTGGTTCTGCTGCTAAATTGCAACATTTATTTTGTGACACAATTTCACATGCAATCTCAGTCAAATAACCTTTGTTTCATTCACATTTAATGTTTACTATGAATCAGGAGTCACTATAATGATCAGAGGAATGTATGGATATTAAAGTCATGGAGATGCTGGGGATTGAACCCAGGACCTCATACATGCGAAGCATGCGCTCTACCACTGAGCTACATCCCCGATGAAATTGGAATGAACAAAATGCGAAAATGACAGAGTGCTATCACTATGCTCTAGTCTTATAGTCCACTGGAAAAATGTAATTGTGTAGGTTCCACTGTAGTATGGAATAACACTGAATTGTTATTTGGAATAGCAATGAAACAGAGATCTCCCTTGTATCTTCCATTGTATCTCTTCGTAGTGGGTAGGATCCAATCCAAGTGACCAGAAGAATTTTCTCCCTGCTCTGACCTCTAGGTATTACACCCAACTGTTTTGTTAAACTCAGTGATACAGAATATTTATTGTAGGTGTCTGTTTTTTTGCTTTTTCATTATACTATTTATGAGTGAAAATTACTTTTGCTTAGGTCTGAAACAGAATAGATGATTCCCCTTTTTCATTAAAACGAGTCATAAGCAGTGGTGTCAAAAGTACACACATTTGTTCCTTAAGTAGAAGTATAGTTACTGCAGTTTAAAAGCACTCTGGTAAAAGTTGAAGTATCAACTTGACCTCTTTACTCAAGTGAAATACATGTGCTCCAAAAAATACTCAGTTTAAAAGTATAAAGTAACCTTTAAAGACAAACAGCCAGATGCCTCTTTATAAATTGAAAGCTAAATTTTTCGACTATTTTGAAAAATTCCTTGAGATAGGGCCAAGGATGAAGAAGGTCTTGTTGGTCTCTGTCTCCATCTCCCAATACGCTCTCACCTGTGTCCGACCTTTCAGACATTTCAACATCTTTAGATGATGTGGATGGCGCCAATGATCAGCAATGGTTGGCACACATGACTTAACATAAATATTTATAAACATTAAACCAAAGCCAAGAGTAACGAGTAACGTTTGTTTTAAAAGTGTAAGGCATTTTAGGTTGCGTAACAATGTAGGTACATTAGAGCATATTGAGGCATATTTGTAACAATGGGCCTAGGTGTGATGAAAACAGGAGATCTCAGTCAAATCACATTTTCTTCTTAATTCACATCATTTCTAATCAGGAGTCACTATAATGATCGAATATTAAATTGATGGAGATGCTGGGGATGAAACTAGGACCTCATACATGCAAAGCATGCACTCTACCACTGAGCTACATCCCCAATATTGATGTAAATAATAAAACCTGAAAAGCACAAACTGCTATCACTATTATGTAGGTTTACCTGCATTCCTTCGCATCTTCCTCCTCTCTGCCTGCTCAGACGCATCTATTCCTCCCCAAAATCTGAAAAGGACAGACTGCTATCACTATGCTCTAGTCTTATAGTTCACTGGGAAAATATAATGGTGTAGGTTCCCGCTCAGCTTCTTTTCATCCAATGAAAGCGTTTGTTCCAATGAAAGCATTCGTTCTTCCGGTTATCTTGAATTATCTCAAATAAACTTCAGTAAAACAGTTATTAGATCAATGCCTCATCCATCTCTTTTGCCTGCTATTGACATGGATTTAAATTTGCTCTTTTAAAAGAAAAATAAGGAGAATATTTCAGATTCAAGTATGGTACAACATTATATAGATTAAAAAAATATTATGGATATGTTAATTTTTTTATGGATGCTTCAAAATATACTAATATTAGGAATGGTGTTTTGTTTTAGTTCCAGAATTTATTTTTAAATCGGGTAAAAGAATCAGTGATCAGTAATGCTTTCAATGCTTTCATTGGATGAAAAGAAGCTGAGCGTGATTGGCTGATGGTATGCTTCATCTACATATATTGCTGAAGTTGCGAGCGCAGAGAGTCCAGCAAGCGGAGAAACAGCTGGGTGCACAGCTGGTGTTGAGCGCGGAGAGAGCAGGTAGAGCGCGAGCAGAGATGAAACTGGTGCGAGAACAGTGTGTTGAGAGGGTTTTTCAGAGTTGAGCGCGCGCCAGACAGGTTTTGCGCGCGCGCGTGTTGTCTCACTGCGCGCTCGGATTGGTTCCTTCGCGCTCAAACCGATGGCACAAATATCTCTCCATACACCTGATAGGAGCGCTGGATGCCGTTGGTGTTCATGTTGCAAATGTTCTCAAGCTAAGCTTTGAGCACAAAGAAAGCTTGGAAGAAGAGAAGAGCCAGGAGGCCGAGGAACTGCAGGCCTCTCCAGTTCTGACTGCAGGTTCAGAGTCTAAGGCTTTTACAGAATTTAAGTCTCATAACCTGAAAAAAGAAGCTCAATATTTGTCATTTTATTTCCTGGTTTGTGTTTTTCTTGTCTGTGTTCAGCTGCAGCTGGGAAGGCAGATATTTGATGGCGTCGCCAACCTCATCTATGACTCTGTGGAGATGCGCCGGCAGTATCAGCACTACAGAGACCATGTCCAGCTCATCCATATACCCACTGTTGTCACAATGGATTCACAGCCTGCAGAGGTACATTTACAGCACTGCTCAGAGGTTTACAAGGAAAACTGCTTTAAAGGGCGTTTGAATTGTTTATTTCAGCTGGTCCTCGTTTTATTAGTGGACTATAAATATATTATTACACAAAAACTGATTTAAATTTGAAATCAAAAGCTGCATAAGTTGCTGTTTTTACTCTAAATAAGAGATTCAACGTTTTACACAAAGCCTACAAAACTAATTTATTAAAACTACATCGTTTGTTTCCATTAACAAGCCTCTAGTATAATTATGAAGTAACTTTTGACCATGAAATTAAAAACTTCATTCAAATAGGCTGTTTTCTGATGTTTTGGACATGGATCTCTTTAAAACATAGTCCACACATTACCAATAGGTTGAGGTTTCAAAAATGTTCATCTCTTCTTTTCACGCATCCAACTGTTGATTTAGGTTGAAATTGAATTTAATTGGCCGACTCACTTTATGCACTGCACCAGTATCATGAGCCGAGCATGCACCCATGGCATGATGCTGCCACCACCATGCTCGACTATTGGAGCTGTGCAGATAAATGTGGGCAGATGACAATTGTAGTTGGGGTTGTAGGTGTACAGCAGCAGCTTCTTTCTTGCCAGTGCTGTCCTGGTCCACATTGAGCTTAAAATCACTTCTTTGTGGACAGACTTTGGTGTTAAGGAGAGTATCCCAGTGATTGTGGACCTGGTTGCTTTCTCTCTTTTTACTTAATGAAACTATTGATCTAACATGAAGAAAAATGGCTCAATGTTTATTGTTTGTAATTTTAGTCATATTTCTTGCAAATGTTGATCAAATACTTTAAGGTTTTAGCTACAGGTCATAAAACGGTATTAGCAGAGGATGGTTTCGATCCATCGACGCTTCCGCTGCGCCACTCTGCTGTGCTGATGTTGCATTGATGCAATCAGACAGTCATTTCTGCCAATGATTTATTATTGATTTTCTTCATATGTTCAAAATAGGAGGTATTCAGAGGGGCCACATGTGTATAGATGTAATTCATCGACACCTTGCAAAACAGGAAATAGGTTTAAGACCCAGTCTTGGCAGAAATTTATTTTAATTTACCTAACCTTTATTATTTTTACGTTCCAATATTGTATATAATACATTGTTTAAAAAAAAAAAAATCTACCTACTTCTGCATGCATAGCAGGACCTATGATTAAATGATATAGCATCAGTATGTGCTCTAAATTATACAACCAAAAAACATGCTATAATAAATTAACAATTAAAAATACATCTGAATTATTTTTGTTTAGTTTTATTTCTCATAGGATTTTCTTTGAGTGTGTTGAAAACGGGAGTTATTACAATATTTTGAGACTTTAATAGAAATCAATACAATACATTTGCTTTTACCTCTAAAAAAATAATCTTACACACAGAAACCTCCTTTATGGCAGATGTATGTGGAGTCAATAAGCAAATTTCTTATTATTGTTTTAAAAAATAGAAAAAATGATCAAACAGACAGAAATATATATCGAACTAGTAAATCCATCCATTCATTTTCCATCACGCTTATCCCAAGCAGGTCGCAAGGGGTGCTGGTGCCTATCTCCAGCTGTCTATGGGCAAAAGGCAGGTAGAACTACTAAATATATTTCTAAATAAAAAAATTGTAAAAATGGTAATAATTAGGATGAATGGATGATTGCATGTGTACATAATTGTTATATAATAAATAAAGTTGCTTTTTTTTTTACAAATAAAATTTTATATTTCTATAAAAAAAATAAAAAAAACATCTAGATTTCAGATCAATGCAGAAACTAGATGTTTCTTATAAATGTGGCAAAACAGCTTGCAATAGAGCTGTTTAGATCCCCAGCCATGTAATTTTGAGTTTTAACAGCCAAATTTATCTGGTAGAAACAAAAAATAATGGAATAATGCAGCAACTTTGACAATAAGGTACAGCTTGATATAAGAACGGTTTGAGCAAAAAGAACAGCATGTTGGAATTGCACCTCGAATGAGTTTGATTACAGCCCTACAAAATAAAAGACTACAAAGACAAAACATGTAATTTCAAACTGATATAGGCAGCAATTTGACAAATCCGTTTGTTTCCAGTCTTTAAAATTAGCAAGGAGTAGAAAAATCTGTGACATCACATAGAATTACTAAATATATTACTAATAAACAGTATAGCAGTGGTACAATTACATGCATGAAAACAAGCATAGTAAGTTAAAATGATGACATCAGAAGTGTTATAAAATATTCCATATTTTAATGTTCAACCAACAAGCATGACTAACATTTTTCCAATAATAAATCTTTAAAATAGTTTGTGTTTCCAGCAATGCTCCTTAGTACCGTATTTTTACGACTATAAGGCGCACTTAAACGTCTTTTTTTTCCCTCAAAATGTGCGGTGCGCCCTATGGTGCGGTGCGCCCTATGTGTGTTGTAACTGCGACTTTTGAGACCACTTCATTGAGGAGATGATGAAAGAGTGGCTGAATGTAAGGAGACCAGGTGTTTTTTTTTTCCACCCCTCACAATCGCTGTTAATATGTAACTCCATGCGTGCCCATCTCACAGCTGATGTGAAAAACATGGGGAAACAAATTAACCCTGTGCTCGCTGTTCAACCGCTCGACATCGGTGTGAACCGGACCCAGCAAGTGCAGCAGAAGCAGCGAGTTTACATGCAAAGTCAATGGTTGACGCGCGTATAAGGCTGGGTGGCTCCGTATGGATGCGTGGCTGAGGCAGGTGTATCTGAGAAGACTAGGTGTTTTTTTCCACGCATCACCATTGCTGCGTGCCCATCTCACAGCCGATGTGAAAAAAAAGGTGAATCAAATGAACGCTGTGCTCGCCGTTATCCCGGGGGTCTGACAAAGGAGCTTCCACCGCTCGACATCGGTGTGACGCGGCCGTTCAAAGTAAGGCTGCGAGCGGCGTGGGAGCGATGGATGACAGACTGAGACCACAGTTTCAGGAAAAGTGGGAGGCAGCGCCGGGCAAGTTACGCCACCGTTTGCGGATGGATTGTAGATGCTTGGACTAACGTATCTGCTGGCTCTGTTGTTCAAGCTTTTGCAAAAGCCGGCATTATTTCTGAGGAGCTGCGCTGCACGGAAAGTGACTGACAGCGCAGAAGGGGAAACTGGCATGTCGGATTTAGCGCAGCTGTTTAATTCAGAAACAGAGGATGAGGACTTTGAGGGGTTTGATTAATACTCTGTAATAAATACTTGAATAAAGCACAATCATACTCAGTTTTGCTCCCGCTGTATTTTTCTACCTGAAAACTTAATTCAACAGCAGCCTCTGGGCCGCGGGGCATACGGGCTCACCTCCGCAGGTGTTTTTTCATCTAAATAATCTAAATCTTTTTAAGTGATAAAGCCCACCTGAAAATTTAATCATTGCAGTCAGTTCATCCAGATTATTATCCTGCCTATGTTTTAAGTTAATTTATGCGTCAATAAACGAAGAAGAAGGGGAAACTGGCATGTCGGATTTAGCGCAGCTGTTTAATTCAGAAACAGAGGATGAGGACTTTGATGGGTTTGATTAATACTCTGTAATAAATACATTAATAAAGCACAATCATACTCAGTTTTGCTCCCGCTCTATTTTTCTACCTGAAAACTTAATTCAACAGCAGCCTATGGGCCGCGGGGCATCCGGACTCACCTCCGCAGGTGTTTTTTCATCTAAATAATCTAAATCTTTTTAAGTGAGAAAGTCTACCTGAAAATTTAATCATTGCAGTCAGTTCATCCAGATTATTATCCTGCCTATGTTTTAAGTTAATTTATGCCTCAATAAACTGTATCAGAGGAGTAATCACAGCCCTGTGTCATCAGCATGCCGGTTCCCAGGTTTGAATAATACTTTGTAATAAATACACCTTGCAGCTTTATTTCCTGTGATCAGTGGGAATAAAGTAGTTTTAATATGTTTTTAAGTGGGAAAATCCACCTGAGAGGACATGTACCTGTATATAAAAAACGCGCCCTATAGTCCGGTGCGCCTTATGTGTGTGTTAAATACAGAAATGGCACACATAACTGAGACTGCGCCTTTTAGTCCGGTGCGCCTTATGGTCGTGAAAATACGGTAAATACATTATTCTGTCTTTGCCACTAAATTAGATGAAACAGCGCCACTTCCCGTAGTGGTCATATAGTGTATTACATCCGTAGTGGTTTAGGACTACCATAGGAAATGAATGGGAAACTGTTTAGGGCGGTTAAGCTAAACAAATCTCAGGGATGAAGGTTCGAGTCCTGGTCTTGGCAGAAGTTTACAACATTTTTTTTTTCCTGAGGGTCCAGGTTCAACCTCCAGCCCAGTGTTATTTAATGTCGTTCTACAGGCAGCTCTAATATTCTCACTTGTTTCTATTGCTGGGAATTGTTAGAGGTTGCAGTGATAAAAATTGCAGAGCCTGTTATTATTTTATTTTATAACCAAACTGCTACAATGATTCTCCAATTATGAATCACTCTGAATTATTTTGTTTACGTTTCATTATGATAAAATTTTCTTGGTGTGTCTTGAAAACAGGAGTTATTACTATATTATGAAGCTTTAGTAAAAATAAAAAAAACGATCACAATACACAGATACCTCCTTTGTGACATTTTAATAAAATCAAGCAAATTTGTTTTTATTTTGTTCTTCAAAAAGAGAAACAACAGTTCAAATACACACAGATATATAAATGTTATCTGAGTATAAAATTTTAATTATTTTTGATGGATAATTACATATGCATATATTAGTTAACTAATGTATTATATCATAACAAATAAAGATAGAAAATAATATCTCTCTTTAAAAATAAATCCGTATTTTATACATTAGCTCAATGCAGAAAATCTGTGTTTCTTATTGTGGCAAAACCAGCTTCTAATAGAGCTGTTTAGATCTGCAGCCATGTGATTTTAAGCTTAGACAACAAATTTCTCAGCTAGAATAACAGAAATGATGGGATAATGTTGCACATTTGACAATAACATAATATGTGATAGGGGAGCAGTTGGGGGAAAAGCAACAGCATGCCAGAAATGCACCTTGACTAGTTTGGTTACAAGCTCTACAAAAAAGAAAAAAACTACAAAGACAAAACATGTCATATCAAGCGATATTAAGCAACTATTTGCTTAATATCGCTTGATATCAAAGTATCAAGTCAAGTATCGAAGCAAATATATTGATTATAATCAGGGATCTAGAGCATTTACTTTATTAGCATTAGCATTCATTTAGGTATAGCAAGGAATGAAACAATAAGTGACATCACATAACTAAATAACTTATTAAATACCAGGGCAGTGGTATAGTTAAATGCAGGAACACAAGTTAAAAAGCAGGAACAATGTTTCCTCTTTGCTGGTAAATACAGAGCAACAGCGCCACTTCCCCTAGTGGTCATATAGTGTATTACAGCCGTAGTGGTTTAGGACTACCATAGGAAATGAATGGGAAACTGTTTAGGGAGGTTTAGCTAAATATTGCTGTGTTCAAGATGTTGGTAGCATGTAAGAGTGAATGCTGTCAGGTGAGGATGTTTTTAAATGTATATCAAATCTTTCCTTACACCATCTACTGAATCTAGTCATTAATATTTACCATGTGTTTTTGCTGTGTCTGCGTTGTGTCTGCTGTTCTCCAGACCCGACTCAGGAAAAGGCAACTAGTCAGAGATCAGGGCCCACGGAGCGATTGGACAGAGTTATTGAGGAGATTTCATCCAATCATGTACTGATCACACACCAGGAAACCCAGGAAAAGGCGTCCGCTTCGACATGAGGGATCCCACTGTTCTGTATCCGCAGCATTGGTGGTTCAGTGGTAGAATTCTCGCCTGCCACGCGGGAGGCCCGGGTTCGATTCCCGGCCAATGCAACAGATCCTTTTTCTTTTGAGCAGGGGGTCTCATGTTCCAGCACGTAGGACAGACTAGCACTTTAAAATCCATCAATCCAATCTATTCCTGCTATTTTGGCACCACCATGGTGCCTCTAAAAGCAGCTTACACATAGAGCTCCAGCTCTTACGTAAACACCGGGGGAGGGTCGGGAACGCCGCTCTGTGGGCAGACTGCAGGACAGGAAAGCTGTTACTTCCTTTGTTTTTATCTTTAAGCCTGACGGTGTTATAAACCTGATAAGAGGAGAGAAGTTTGTTTTTTTAGTTGCTAGCAACAACCGTTAAACTGATTCCAGCAGATCACCAGCTAACGGTTTGCTTTAGAGCAGATGTGCATGAGAAAGAATGTGGGAGTTCCTCCTGAAGCTGAATCATAGGTTAGTACCAATGGATGTCCACCAGATGGAGCTAAATTAAAGTGAATAAAGTAGAATTTTGCTGGGATATCAGATGTTTATTTTTCTCACTCACTTATTTAGATGCATTTCTTTAGGAGTTTGTGCCTTGTTATGTGTATAAATAAACAAATGGCAACTGAAAACAGTCCTGAACCTTTACAGTTAGAGCTGCAGTGGAAATGCCATTGGAAAGGGCCAAATTCATTTCAATAGGGGTGGCCAGTCAAAAACAGATGTACACTGAGGGGTGGCCTGAATGCGGATAGGCACCAGAACCTCGGGCTCAATCTACACTGTTCCAACAGGAACGAGCACAACATCCATGTTTTCTAAATAAAGACAATCTATACTTTCCTACAGCCTTTGCTAACAAATAGACACATATATTTAAACATCCATGCTGTCTAAATAAAAGGTAGTAAATGGTAGTGGACAAAATTTTTTTCCCATTTTCATTACTTACCTACTTTTAATCAAAAAAATTTCTGCATAAAATTAACATTTACATGTACTAATATCCTATCCTAAATCTATGATTTCACTGATGACTTGCACAGAATTTTCTCTTTACCCCATATAACACAAAATTTAGTTCTGAGGTGAGCATGGATTCTGTATTTATCAATTTTAATGTTTGTATTTTGATGTGCATAATTAACCGCAGCATATTAGTTGTCAAGTAATTTTTAATAAATGAAAAATGTAAATATTTAATAAGTCTGAAAGTATTACTGCTGCTACCTTCTGTTTTAGAGGGCGAAATAAATGGTAGGGGTGGCCAATGATTGGCTAAGAGGGGCCATGGCCACCCCTGGCCCCCCATCTAGCTCCACCCCTGGCTGAGGGCTTTCTTTAAGAGTAGCTCCACAGTTAATCCTAAATTCACCACCATGCAGTGCCTTGACACCCCACTGGGTGGTGACCACCACATTGATGAAAACCTCCCCTGTAAAAGGAAAAACTCCTGGTTCATGTCTGGTCTTTTTCTTTTTGTTTTGTATTTATTTTAAAAATTTTAAATTTAGTCAGCCATTTCCATTTAAAAGCTTGTGCGCTGCAAAAGTTTTTTTTTTTTTTTTTTGCTTGAATGAAGAAATTAATGCATACAAAATTCAAGAATCAGCCCACACAACACTTTTAAGAAAACATGTCAATTTATCTAAATGTTATGTAGTGAATTTAAGAAGGCAGGGAAGGAGTTGAACAGTGTAAGTCAAACAGTGACTGGAACTAAACCAAGATGTATGCAATAAAGTAAAACTTTTATTTTGTTTTTTTACTTAAATGGGTGCAACAATATAATTTATGTTATAAATACACTTATGGTCACACACTCAAACTAACACACAATAAATTATTAACACAAACTCATTAATTTCCTCCGCACAGGGATTAAAAAAAACAAAAAAAAAACTACATTATATATTTTATAATACAATTAGAGATTTATAATCAATATACCTCATTGTAGAAACTCAAATCATCATTCTAATAAAAGCACTTTGAGTAGAATGGAATTGCTCCATGGAGAAAAAAAAAGTTTTTATACATCTAAAGATTTAAATACATATATGGATTTAATTTATTAGGAAACCAGGTTAGACTGTAAAGAAATAAGATGTAAGAAAATAATATAAGCTGACATAAAAATCTCCCATTCATCATATTTTTATAAACTACAATCTCATTAAATACATTCAGGTTTTCTGGCACATAAGTTGTTATTTTTCTCCATGATAAGAAAAAGTTTAAAAAATATATTACATTCAAATAACAAAAAAAGATAATAATACATTTATAGGAAACATCTACTTGTTATTATTATTTAATATTCTGCATTCTTGCTGTTTGTGTAAAGTATGAAGGCTTTAATGTCCTATCCTAAGGAACCGTTCAACACCTACACAGAAGCCTTTGTCAAAAATCTGATTAAAATCAAGTAAAATTAGGAGCTAAACTGACTCATCAGTATTGTCTGTGATTTTTTTTTCTTTATGCCATCTTCTAAATATACTATTGCTGCAATTTGATTTCTGCGTTTCATTTTTCATTCTAAAATCCCTTTAAATTTCATGCTTTAATTTTCTTTACAATGGAAAGATATGTGAAAAATATTGATCAGAATCATAATTGCTGTCCATGGTGCTGACTAAATTTAAGGTCATTCATGAAACGAAAACTGCTGAAAATATGTTGATATGGACTATTTCTATTGATTTGTCATAAAGAGCATTTTGGTTTTCAAGGGATGCTAATGGAGCAAATAATTTCCATACAGCAAAAACTGCCAAAAAGAAAGTGTGATGGAAAGGAAAACATTTAGGTCGTTTTGACAAAATTTCAACAACAAAAAAAAAGGATTTAATTACTTAAAAAGGACAATATAAAAACCTCTGAGAAATATATATATATTATATATATGTGTTTATACTGATCCAATTGATGTCATATTGACTCCATCTCTGTATTTAATAAAAGCAGATAACAGATCAATGTACATTTCATGATGTGACACATAACTAAATAAATAACATGGTGGGATATTTGCATACCCTCTGTCTGGAATGAGTTTTACACGATTCAGTGATGAATGTCAGCGTACTATTGGCCCTTATGAGTTACATCCTGAGTCATACCAGCCCCTAGTTTTGTTTACCACCACATTTACATTTTCCGCCTGTTTCTGATTGGTATTTTCTGAATATAAGCTGCTCAGTATGGCAGACAGCAGCGCCGGATTTGTTCACATTGTACTGCATCACGCACCGCCCTTAAGCAAAAATAAAAAATATGCTGCAGTGTTTTTAAAAAAAACTGCACTCTGCATTATGAAAATAAATAGCAGCAGCAGATGGTAAAGGCACGACTCACGCCGTCTTTGGCTGTTTCAGTTGAGATACATAAATAAATGTAGACAGTGCCGACACAGCTGCTTATGATCTTCAGCTTTGCAGCTTCTGATTTAAACTCCTCTAAAATACATTTTCATGAACTTTCAGGAAAGTGCAACGTTAATCTTTTTTAAAAATAAAACAAAAACAGCTGATGACCCAGACTGTTTTCTTGTAATTCTTAAAAATGAGGAGGCACAGTTTAATTGGCATTAGGAAGTTAGTAAGCATGCTGTAAGCAGCAGATTTGAGTAGCAGTTCCTAAAACCTCTGCCTCTGTTCAGTTACTCTGAGTCTAGAAATATAATTATTTGCATTAAAACACACCTGCGGGTTAGCGTTTGTCTTTTATTTTCTCTAACTTTTTTATAAACTGAAGATAAATAAAATTGTGCAACGTGCAAAACGTTCATAACAACACGCATGTCTTTATCTGTTCCTTTTTTAAGCTGCCAGACGTATTTGAAATCTCTTGCTTTTCATGCTTCCTGGGGTTCTGGTTTGTGGTCGCCGACCAAAGAAGAACACAGTGAACAAACAGAGGACAAATGGAGAAGTACTGAGCATGAAACAGAACAGCACCTGAGAATCAATTGCCTGTTTCACAAATAAAATGACCCCAAACATATGGCTAAATCTACACACACACTGTACATCAAACACAGAGTTGTTATTAGAAGAGTAGAGCAGCAGATGAGGGAAGTAGACCTATTGGCAAACTACAGACAGTAGAAGTGGCAAAAGTTTTACAACAGGGGATTTTGTTAAACCAAATTATTAAAAAATATATATAAAAAATGTCTCCAACTCTACATATTGACTCATAAGGACACAAATAACTTGTAGAAAAAACATTATAGTCTAATGTTATAGTTAGACTACATAGGTGATGCTGCAAGTAGTGCGTTGGCCTCTTGGTAGTGACCTGGGTGGGCTAAATGGGACTTTTTTTTTTGTAGGGATTGTTTTTCTGTATATTATTTTATATCTATATTTGCTGGATAAATATATTTTTTGTATTTACAAACTGTATGTATAAAAAGAAAACTCAATAAAAAGACAGCAATTAAAAAAATGAGTTATTCCATCAGGTTGCAGCTGAATTTAGCAAACTGCACTCATGTTTACATTTGTGAAGCTAGGACAGAAAAGCTTTTTTTTTTTTTCAATACTATTTTCATTTAAGCCTTTTTTCCATTTTTTTTTTTTTTTTTACCAGGGATGCAGATTATAGGGCCCACTTGGCTAGAAAATGATATGATATCTGTTGGGATTATTTGTACATTACATAACAGCCCCATGCTATAAGACCTAATTAAGTATGATGACCAACAGGTCAGGTTAAAACAGGACCCATATGGGGATCTTGTCCATTTAAGAATAACTACACATTTAAAACACAGCTGCTATCTGTTTGTCTTTCTAAACTGCTTAAAGCCCATTTATTAAGTTTAAATAAAGGGTCCATTGTGAACTTTCAGTATTGAGGCCCATATAGTTATGTTTTTTTGTGGTTAGGTCAGGATCAAGTTGCTAAACAACTGAATAAACTAAAAACATAAGTACAAAAAAATAACAAGCCCGAAAGGAAGCTCACAAAAACTCGCTTGCAGCATCACATAATTAAATTATTTAAAGCTTTGCACAGCTTTATGAAAAGCTTAATTTACCTTTTATTAGTTGAGGGCTGGAATATTTGGTGTCTCTCATTTCCCTCCAGCTAGCTGGATAACTCACAGTGTAATAAAATGAAGTCTCTTTATAAGAAGCTATTGTCACCAAGCCCTCCAAGGATCCACTCATTGTCTTTCAGGAGTTCAGAAAGAGGTATGTCTCCAGGAGGATCTGGTGCCGGTTGGGAGAAAGATTGGTTAAAGCTGCTGGAGGTAGTCAGACTGTGATTCAGAGGACTGGGAACAGTGAGCATGGAGAGCAGAGACTCAGCACCAGGTGAACCATGTTGAATGTGACTTTGCATGGAGGTAAAATAAGGAGCAGGAGAAGGTACCAAAGGAGACGGAGGGGTAGGAGTTTGAGGAGGAGCACCGTTTCCACTGAACTTACATAAAGGCAACTGACACGCATTCCTTTGACTGCTTTTCTGTGGTAAACATGTGTCTTGGACCGCTGGAGGGGAGGAATGGGAGTACAAAGTAGGTTCAGTTGAAAATGAGGATTCTGGGTTTCCCAAAACTGCATCCTTTGCTGAGGAGATTGTGTGGACTTTTTTAGTCAGAATCTGAGCTGCTGTGCAGGGACTAAAGCTGGCATCTGGGATCAGAGGAGTGTTACAAAACAATGAATGAGGAGCTGGGTGTGTGGAGAAAGACACGGAATAAGGGGAAGTTGATGAGGATGAGGTGGAGGTAACGAGGAGTTTATTTGAAGAGGCAGCTGCTGGTCCTGTTGTTGTTTTTGAAGAAAGTAAAGATGAGAGATGTGTCTTTTTAGCGTTGATGAAAGTGTTGAAACCAACACTGGTTTTTATAGGAGGCAGGTTGGACGCCTGAAAAGAACTGGGGTTTGCTTTGCATCCAGCTGGGGACAAAGCGGGATCTTTTAGGCGGCAGTGAGGTTTGTGGTGTTCCAGAGATGTCTCGTAGAAGCAGAGGTCTTTCTTTAAAGTTGCGATCTCCTTCCGTAGAGCTGAATTGGATTGCTCAAGATGCTGTAGCTCCTGAAGAAACAAAAAGAGGGAGGAAAATTAGCGAGGGGTTTTCTTAATTAAAGCAAAGAGGAGCTCCTTAATTAACACAAAAAATATCCCGCCCACATACAATCACAGCAGACCTAACCGGTGCTGTAATGAGTAGACACAGTCACAGCAGAACCACTGCTGATTAGGATACTGAGTCACACCAGCGTCTCCGAGGAGAAATGAAACAGCTTTTAATAGGAAGCACAGCGAGCTCAGCATGAAACGTGAGTGACATAACAGAGGCTCTTTGTGAAAATCAGCTCTCCCTTTCTATGTTTTTAAAGTTGATACTATAATCATTAGATTTTAAGTCTTAAAAGGTTATTTTTAAAGAGCAGTGGGATTATTTGTATAATGTAGAGAGAACCTGGGCGTTTAATATACACTATATTGCCAAAAGTATTTGCTCACCTGCCTTGACTCACATATGAGCTTAAGTGACATCCCGTTCCTAATCCATAGGGTTCAATATGACGTCGGTCCACCCTTTGCAGCTAGAACAGCTTCAACTCTTCTGGGAAGGCTGTCCACAAGGTTTAGGAGTGTGTTTATGGGAATTTTTGACCATTCTTCCAGAAGCGCATTTGTGAGGTCGCACACTGATGTTGGACGAGAAGGCCTGGCTCTCAGTCTCCGCTCTAATTCATCCCAAAGGTGTTCTATCGGGTTGAGGTCAGGACTCTGTGCAGGCCAGTCAAGTTCATCCACACCAGACTCTGTCATCCATGTCTTTATGGACCTTGCTTTGTGCACTGGTGCACAGTCATGTTGGAAGAGGAAGGGGCCAGCTCCAAACTGTTCCCACAAAGTTGGGAGCATGGAATTGTCCAAAATGTCTTGGTATGCTGAAGCATTCAGAGTTCCTTTCACTGGAGCTAAGGGGCCAAGCCCAGCTCCTGAAAAACAACCCCACACCATAATCCCCCCTCCACCAAACTTTACACTTGGCACAATGCAGTCAGACAAGTACCGTTCTCCTGGCAACCGCCAAACCCAGACCCGTCCATCAGATTGCCAGATGGAGAAGCGCGATTCGTCACTCCAGAGAACGCGTCTCCACTGCTCTAGAGTCCAGTGGCGGCGTGCTTTACACCACCGCATCCGACGCTTTGCATTGCACTTGGTGATGTATGGCTTGGATGCAGCTGCTCGCCCATGGAAACCCATTCCATGAAGCTCTCTGCGCACTGTTCTTGAGCTACATGAAGTTTGGAGGTCTGTAGTGATTGACTCTGCAGAAAGTTGGCGACCTCTTCGCACTATGCGCGTCAGCATCCGCTGACCCCGCTCCGTCAGTTTACGTGGCCTACCACTTCGTGGCTGAGTTGCTGTCGTTCCCAAACACTTCCATTTTCTTATAATACAGCTGACAGTTGACTGTGGAATATTTAGGAGCGAGGAAATTTCACGACTGGATTTGTTGCACAGGTGGCATCCTATCACAGTTCCACGCTGGAATTCACTGAGCTCCTGAGAGCGACCCATTCTTTCACAAATGTTTGTAAAAACAGTCTGCATGCCTAGGTGCTTGAATTTATACACCTGTGGCCATGGAAGTGATTGGAACACCTGATTCCAATAATTTGGATGGGTGAGCAAATACTTTTGGCAATATAGTGTAGATGGTTCCAAAACTGTAAGGGGGTTCCACAAGGTTCCAATTACTTTCCTTTTTCTAAATACTCACAGAAGACTCTTCATTATGCACACTTGTTTAATTGCTTTACAACCAAATGATAAAAAGGAATTAACATTGCAGAAGCCCAATGAGTTCAGGCACAAAGAAGTGTTAGACCACTTTATGTTTAACCCAAACAGGAATGGGAAAGAACTTCCATTTAAGATTAGGCGACTTTGAATGTGGAATAGTTATGTTTGCTACACAGGCTAATCTGAGCATTTTAGAAACTTTTGATTCAACCAGATTTATAGATGGTATGCTAAAATGGAAATATAAAGGCATAAGTATCTCCGATAAACCACTTCTTACAACAATGTTAAGCACAACACCATCTTTTTCTGGGAACATGGTAAGTTAAAGCAGCAGAGGACCATGCTGAGTAAAGGGAATTGAGGCTACAAATCACACAAATTTACATCAATTAAAACTACATTGCCTGGTCTTTTTTTTAGTTGCAATACTCAGATGGTCAGAATCTGGTATTTTCAGTTTTTCTTCTGCATTTTGCACCATATATTTTAGTCTTTGCACTGCTCTGAACTTTCATATCAATGATTTTGCACCATGGTTTTTCTCGCATGCTATTAACATTTGATCACTGCTGCACTTTATGGAGTGAAAATGTTCATTTCACTGCTAAGCTGCTGCTCATTTACTGTCTGAAAGCTGTACAAAATGAAATGTTGTACATTCTTTGTAAACAAAATGACAATAAAAGTTGTTTAAGTCTACTGTAAGCCTATGTGTCTGTAGTTCAGAGGTGTAATGGTAGCATAATGATTTACGGGAAATATTCAAGCACAATTTCACACCCCTTTTTTTGTTGTTTTTTATTTGTTCCGTACACCTCTTTTTAATCATCATTGCACTGTCACAAGTACAGAGCAACAAAATGAACTGTGCATTTAACCCATCCCCTTGGGGTGCAGTGGGCTGCCATTGTGCAGCACCCAGGAAGCAGTGTGTGGTTAAGGGTCTTGCTCAGGGACCCAGAGTGGCCGTTTGTGGGAGTGGGGCTCGAATTCAGAACCTCAGGATTCCAAGCTCTATGCCTTAACCACTAGGCCACCACTCCCCCGCCCAACCCAGCATATATATTTAAAGATTAAGTTTAGACTCTAGTAGTCTTTATTGCAGTAAAAAACTGTCTAAGTACTGCTGCTGACCACCTCCAACCCTTTTTCTCCACACTACCTCTAATTTGCAAAGGCTACTCCCAAGACAACATTCAGTAAGAGCCTGATCTTTAGAGGGTTTGTGTGTCTTAAAGAACGTGTTTTTACGCACAGAGCAGATCAATAAAGGAGGTACAAAATGATTTGCATTTGAAATTCGGTAGGCAGCGTGTGCAGCACATTTATTTCATGTGTTTGCCTTCATAAAAATGCAGATCGTATTGTCCAAACTGTCTTAATCCATGGGGGGATGATGTCATAATTTGATTTATTTTAGGCTAAATTTGCTTCTTTTTTATCCCGTTTGAAATAGAAATAAAAAAGCATTTGTTTAATGGATAGAAACTATGGGGACAAAGAATTAATTCCATAACATATTTTACAACCATCTGCTATAAATGATATCATGCCTCATATGTTGCTGCAGTCCTGGATAAAAGTCTGGTAAAAGAGACCAATGTCTCCTCTCATTGAGACATACTTGCCTCAATGAAGGGAATTAATGGAAATTAGTTAGCATTTCTATTTCTATAATAAACTTAAACATCTAATATTGTGCTTCCATGGCTCAAAGTAATGAAGGTTCCTTAAAATAAAACCACAACAGATTATTTTCTGTTTAAAAGCTGTGTAGTTGTGCGAGGCATGTGCTGACCCTTTAAACCATGAATCGCTGACACACCGCTGTGCTTTTTATTTCAAAGAACAGAGCAGCTTGTGGTGACAGTGCTTCTTCAAGCTGAGGTTAAAAAACATACCGAAAGCAGAAGTGAAAGGAATAAAAGAGATAAAACCAAAAGTTAAAAATTACTACAGAGGACAGAGACACACCCATTAATAACTTTGAAAAGACTTCCTTAAAACTCATCCTACCAACTCCAACAGGAAGGTCATGTGAATTTACATCAGTTAAGAAGTAGCTTAGGGAATAAAGGTTTCAATTTGAGGCCATTTTAAACTACAGTTCCTTGGACATACACATGACAGAATCATAAACTTTGAATAGTCTCGTTAAAATACCAGAGAAAACTGGACTCTTCGACCTGCTGGTGTGGATATTAAATTCATTATTTAGCTCCACAATGTTATACCTAACTTAAGGAGAATTTATAGAAGCCAGTTAACCTAACAGTCATGTTTTTGGACTGTGGGAGGAAGCTGGAGTACCTGGAGAGAACCTATGCATGCACAGGGAGTGCAGAAAGACCCCGGACCGGGAATCGAACCCGGAACCTTCTTGCTGCAAGGCCACAGTGCTACCCACCACACCACCGGACTGCACTTGCATTAATCAATCAGACAATATTAAATTATTGCCTGAATGATTAATTATTTTCTCTCATTTGTCAGCTTCCAGCTGCACAGTTACAAATTGTTTGATTTCCTTGAATCCACAACATAAAAAAGTTAAACCAAAAAGCTCCACAGACTCAAATACAAGTCACAAATAATAATAAAATAGAACTTATGTGAATGAATTGAAGATACTTTGATAAATATGTTTGAAAAAAAATAAAATTGGTAAAATAACCACATGGAGATTAGCAAACAGCCATAAGTGACAACATCAAGATACTTTGATGTTGTTATTTTACTGCACAATACCTATAAAGGTATAAAAAGCAATCCAATGAAGATCTATTAAAGGCATCAGTCTGGAATAATATAGAACAAGATGAACTTTAAAAGACTGCAGGGAAAGCTCTTTAAAAAATATGGAGAAATAGGAGAAATGTCACTGATTTTCGACAGTCCAAGTTGGGTAAAAGGCAATCGGACTTGTCTCTTCTTTCTAAAAAACATTTTGATCTTGATCCACATGGCTAGGAATAAAAGGCTTTTCATTAGGAGAGGTTGACAGGGCTTCGGTTTGAGTGCCGGATCGAAGGCACAGAAAGTATCTGGACAATGGCAGGGTGATTGAAAGATGAAATGAATAGAAAATCCCAGCAGAGCATATGGAGGCCAGGTAACGGAGGCAGTAAAGATGGTAAAAGCAAAAGAATGGTAGGATCTGAAAGGAAACTAAAAGGAAAGATGAGCGTACATGCTGATGGACATGTGGAGAATGACACTGAATGCAGATGAGCAATTCAGGAAACTACATGAAACAGCTGGAGCAGAAAGAGAACAGAGAGACTGAAAGAATACTGACTAATATGAATGGAGCTAAACTGAGAAACTGAGATGTAACAGAAATAAAATGCAAATACAAAGGATGACTTACACATACTATACATAAAGATATTCCTCTTTGTTGGGGATGTTTCAACATTCCTCTTTCATAAAATGCTGAATAAAAAAGCCAACATGAAGTTTGCATTCTTTTTACTCTGCATAGTTACAATGAGAAAGATAGCAGTTACTATGATGCTGCTGTTCTTGATGTTTTTGTAGCAGCTGTTCAGAGCTAATCTGCAGTGATAATTCATTCAGATTTTATGTTATAAAAGCCTCTGCTAATCAAATTGACATTTATTGGAAAATCATTTATTGGACAGTTATGGGGCGTATTTGTTTCCTATTTATTTAAGGTAGTGGAGATGGACCGTTTTTACTCAAGTTCCCTTTTCTACTGTCTTTCCTAATGTCTTTTTTTTTTCTTAAATGACTCTAAAGACTTAATTCAAACTAGTGTGCTTCAGTTTAGGTCCGTTTGTTTAATTCCATTTTTACTTTTTCTGCTCATTTTACTTCATTTTCAATTCAGTTGAGTTTAACTGAATTAGGTTAAAGTCATTTTAGTTCAAATTAAGTTTACATGGAAGCTACAATTTCTGTCCATCATAGCGATTAATTTAAAAGAATACTGTATCATATCTACAGAATGTCTAGATTGGTGTAGAATAGATGCATAAATTTTACTGAAAAAAATTCCAAACAGTATAGAATATTTTTAAGGGTCCAAAATAAATTAATCTATACATGAATCAAGCAGACCAAACAAGAAGCAGAAGGAGGGTGAACATCTGCAAGGTTTTAAAGCACTGGTTTCAACTTAAGGAAGTCAGAAGCCATGTGGGGGAGTCTTCCTTTTGGACTGGTAAGTTTAATGATTAGGTCAGCATTTGCATTAACAGACGTGGGAACCGTCCAGCAAACATTACAGTTATAGGTTGGAACATGAAGGCACCACTTACAGGCCTGGAGAAGCTCAAATTCTAACAAGTTCCTTTAAAGTTTGATTCAGTTTAATACACTGTAGCTCAATTTACTGAAGTTTAATCATGTGTTTTTTAAAACAGTTCAATTTAATCCAATTAATTTTTCATTCAAATGAGTTCAATGTTTTATTTTAGCTCAGTTAAATAAAATTTAGTGCAGGGTTCAATACAATACAACAATTTATCAAAGCCTATTAATATTTAGCCACAAAATGTGTTTTTTTAACAGTTAATTGGATGCTTTTTAACAGCCAACAATTTATTTTTCCTTTAAACATTATCAAGTATAAGATGCATTAGTCCTGTATGGTCATGTAACCGTTCAAATCAAGAGGAACAGGTAATTATAATAGCTAAAAAGATTTTTATAGAATGTGTAAAATATATTGGGCTTCATATGTACGTGAAGGTGGTATTGGGTCAAAGGACACCTTTCTGTGCCTCAGCACAGAGGGCTCTCTGTCTGTTTGTTTGTGAACTCTGAGTGTTATTCATCTTGGAGGTTGGAAAAATAAACTGCCTGTCCCCTTAATGGAAATTGTTGGCTTTAAGGCCAGAATAAACTGTTGGGGATGATTAATTTTACCCCCACAGGAGGAAAATGGGTAGGTAAAGAAAGCAAAAGAGAAAGGAATGTGTGTGTGTCCGGGGCGGAGGGGTCCTGTGGGTAGGTGGTGCAGGCAGTGAGAAGGAGGCGGGCCAGCAGGGAGGACAAGCCGGAGGGTATGACTTCTCCTAAAGCAGAGCGTTTACAAGAAACGGCTTCAAGCCTGATGCCTGATTGCACAAGACAGACACACACCCAGAGACACTGAGCAGTCACACAGTCTGAGGGTGTGTAGATCTATGTGACAGGGAAGAACGTTGAAAGTCAGAAGTTGAAGAAGGAAAGAAGCCAAAAGATAAAAAGACACCAGCTGTTTTTTTTTTTATTTTTTAAGGAAGGGATTTTTTCAGACCTCATGCAGCTCATCAGCTCTCTTCGTTTGTTTATACCGGCTCTTTCTTGCCGCGTCTCTGTTCTTTTCTCGTCTTTTTGTCACCCTAGGCCGAGGCTTATTCCCCTCTCCTTCTCTCTCCTGCAAAGAACAAAAAAAAAAGAAGTCTAACAATATTCTTTCCAGCCTTTACTGACACTCTGCAAACAAACCAGGTTTACTCTTGGTTCATTTGGACAATCTGTGCCTTTTTTTTTTCAATTGCAGTCATAAAATGATAGGATATCATGATTTCAATCCTTATCTATAACAGGTCAAGATGTAAATCCTCAAGATAAAGTAAATCAATGAATACCTAAATATCCTCTGGAAGTGGATTCAATAAATTATGTGAAGCTGATAACCCAGGTAGAAACAAAGTGGTGAAAATTCAGATTTCTTTAAAATAAAAAATAAAAACACCTTTATTGCGAATTACTGGTAAGACCAGAGAGTATCTGAATGTTAGCAAATCCTGTATTGTCCAGAAGTTATATGCATCAATATAAAGTATTGTCTAAAAGTAATTGAAGATCAAGGCCAGGTGTTTTATTTGTTTTAATAGAAAATAAAGTATTTGTTTTAATCCAAATACCAAAGTAAGGTGATCCAAGTCTGCAATATTTCTCCTCAGATAAAGATCACATTTTCATTTACTCAGACAGGCTTGTTTGGAAACTTCATGTCCAGATTATACTCTGAGGACAAAAATCCAGGGCTCAATTTTTAATTTTACTTTTAGTTTTTCTATCGAAGTAACCATGGGTGGTTCTAGAAAGGGGTCTAAAGGGGCCAGTGCCCCTGTGTGACATTATTTCTAAGGCAGGCTTAGGCAGAAACCATAACTGCCTGGTTCCTGGCACCAACGTATTTATCTTTATTTTATTTTTTTATTTTAAGAGTTATTTAAAAGCAAGAGTGTTGCGCTTTTAGCTTTAGCAGTATTGAGACAGGGGGACAGTTTTTATCTGCTAGATCAGTGGGCTGAAACCTCCAGCTCAAAAGCTACAAGTGGTTCTTTAGCTGTGTGGCTCAATTGATATATTAAAAAATGTACTATTGGCCTGTTATGTTTGAATCACTATTTTGTTCTGTGCCCCTATTATCACCAGGGCCTCACCCTGGTGATAATAGGGGCACAAATTTGGTCTAGAATCAACACTGCTGCTAACAAAGAGTGAAAAAAAGAGCATGCATGTCAAGTTTAATTGGCTTTCAGAAAATCAATTAAAATGAAGATAGCTGAAATTAGACAAAACCTCCTGTAAATACAGCCATATTCTACAAATAATCCAAATACTATGCCTTGTCTTGTGTAAAGATTGAAAAAAAAACTTTAAGTATAGCGGCTGGAAAGTTGTTGTCTCTCATTCTATAGGTTTTTTTTAATGAAGATGAGAATTACAAAGGGTTGTGAATATTCCCATCTAAAACTGAAAGTGAGAGTTTAGAGGCAAATGATGGTTTATTCATTTTAACCACAAGACACAAGCGACATTTACATAGTCTCTTCGCACTCATTTTGCCATTTCAATTTACAAACATTAATTAGAATCTAGTTCAAGATGGGAAAACATTTTAAATAATTATTCAGGGCCTATTATGAAACTGATAAACCCACAGAGAGCTGTGATGAGTGTTTTATCTGTCTGTCTTCCTATATATATAACATTTACATATGTAACTGTATTAGAAAAAGGGCTAACAAATTGGGCCCCATTGGGCTTTGTGCAGTTTGTAAATATTGGCCTCATGTTAATTGTCTATATAGCGATTTGACGCAAGAAGACTTAATAAGAGAAAAAGTCCAAGACCCATAGGTGTTCGATGTGTTGCAAAATGTATTCAAATATCCTAATAATTATATAAAACCTAGTCCAGGTCTGACTATCAATGAATCTGGCTAAATATAGGACGCATCAATATGAATATGACCCATATGAACTCTATCCATCTATGCAACAAAACTCGAACATTTATATATAAATATATTAAAAATACTGTAAACTGTTGGGTTGTGACGAATCTGTAAATATTATGGAAATCTAATACACCTTCATTAATAAATCATTAATGAAGGCTACAAAAGTGCACAGGTGTACAAGTGAATATCAAACAAAAATAAAATAATGATTAAAAATAATAAAAAAATAAAAACAACAAGCCATAAAATACACAGATTTTATATAAGAGCATTAAATCTGCAATAAAAGGCATATAAGAAATAAGTCTTAGTGTGTGGTGGTGCTCTCTGTGGTTACATCATTCAATTAGATTAGAGTTAAATAGAAAATTGATTGGTTTATTTATTTTTTTTTTATGAGAAAAATGTTGAATAGTTTTATATTCTATTGGGGACTTACCAGAGCAGAGGTGCTGCTGCTGCATTCATCGGCTGACAGGGAGCCACAGGGGCTGCTGAGATCACACCCGGTGTCCATGAACAGTAAAGGCATGTTTCAGTAAGGATCAGCACACATCCAGCCTTGCAGGATGCTCCAGCCTGGCTCACCTGGGCTCTGACCTGTGCTTGGTGACCTGCTGATGCTGTGTAGACTGAGCTGCTCAGCCGGCGGCTCCGTGCAGTTTTGAGCGCAGGCGGTGTGGCTCCAGGCAGATGATGAGGAGGACAACGATGATGATGCAACATGATGCTGAAGCTCCTTTCAGTTTCGCCTTATTTTAAACGGCCCGATTAATGCTAAGGCTTCTTTTGCTGCTTTCACTTGCTGTGTGGTAGTTTCACTTAGCCGGAACGCAAACAAAGGTTTTCCTCATGCTCATCAGCAAATATCCCAAACAGACTACAACTAGTGACGATTATCACATAGTAAAACACTCTTAAGATAAATCTACATCCAGCTATAAATATTTATGGAACCCGGAATTTCGGGCTTCTTTTTTTTCCCACAGTCTTTGAAGGCAACACATGACGGACCCGTTTTCCCAACGGAAGATATGACCATATTAGGAAAGAGGGGGCGCTCTTCCTCTACTTGCAGGGAATTTCTGGAATTATTTTACCAGGAAACGAACAATGCCCGGCCTCCCAGGTTCCTCTGTGGAAATGCCACGAGTGGAAGGTGGAAAACGGCTTCCCATAAATCCTTTAATGACTCCAACTATGCTGACTTGAGAGTTTTTCTTACAAAGCTGCTCTGTTTTTGCTGTTCTGGAGAGTTTAAATTAGTCCCAGACGAGTGTTCTTTTCTGCATATCTTTAATTGCGCTGGGATGGAATTAATTAAGATATTAAAAGAACCCAGCCTTGGGACCAGGGGTTTATGCTGATAGACAAATAGCCTACAGAAAATATTCAAAAACAAACGAACCAAAACCAGAAACCTATGCAGAGCTGGATTAAATGTAACATAAATTATGTATATTTCACATTAAACCAAGCTACTTTATTTTCTGAACAAAAAGAAAATTTAATTAAAGCAACATTGTGTAACTTTTTTCTATGGGCTCTAGACATGCAGAGGCATAGCCAGAACATTTTTGTAAGGGGGGCCAGGCAATAACCAATGTGCACTGAGGGGTGGCAGAAAGCGGATCGGCACCAGAACCTCTGGGTCAATCTACACTGTTCCAACAGGAAAATTAAAGAGCAAAACATCCATATTTTCTAAATAAAGACAAACTATACTTTCCTACAGCCTTTGCTAACAAATAGACGCACAAATATTTAAACATTTGTAATTTCTAGATGAAAGGTATAGTGGATAAAACTCTTTCAGTTTTGTCATTACTTACCTACTTGTATCAATAAACATTCTGCATAAAATTAATTTTAACAAGTACTTATATCTAGATAAATTGAATATTTGATAAGTTTTTTATTAAAAATTGTTATTTATCTTTGATTTCACTGAAGACTCATAGATGACTTGCAGAGACACATCATTTTCTCTTTACCCCATATAACACAAGATCTAGTTCTGAAAATAGCATGAATTCTATACTAATCATCTTTGATGTTAGTATATTCATGTGTATAATTAACTGCAAAAAAAATAAAATGTTTTGAATATTCCACTTGAGAGTATTACTGCTGCCACCATCTGTATCAAAGGGGGGAAAAATAGTAGGAGTGGCCAAGGATTGGCTAAGGGTCCATGGCCACCCCCGGCCCCCCATCTAGCTCCGCCCCTGGACCTGTACCTTCCAGTTTTAGTACCCCTGAAGCAACTGGCACTGCAGCACAGTCATAAAGTTGAAGTATTATGCAATCTGATAGCAGACCACTTTGGACCAGCAGATGGAGAAAGTAACCTGAATTTTGAAGTTTTCATAAGATCAAAATAAGGGAAATAACAGTTTTGATTGCTGGATGTATGCCCACTGAGTCAGTAAATGTAAATTGTATTAAACAAAGTGGGACCAAACAAATCACTCTTGTTGACGAGTGAGGGACGGATGGAGCGTGAGATTGATAGACGGATCAGTGCAGCGTTGGCTATAATGTGGTCATTATATAGGACTGTCGTGGGAAAGAGGGAGCTGAATCTGAATCTGTCAATTTACTGATTGATCTACGTTCCCCCCTTCACCTATGGTCATGAGATCTGGGTAATGACCGAAGGGACAAGATCACAAATACATGCGGCCAAAAATGAGCTTCCTTCGCAGGGTGGCTGGGTGCACCCTTCCAGAGTGGGTGAGGAGCTCAGGTACCTGGGAGGAGCTCGGAGTAACATTGTTGCTCCTCCACATTGCGAGGAGCCAGCTGAGGAAGCTCGGGCATCTATTCTGCATGCTTCCTGGTCACCTCCCCTATGAGGTGTTCCAGGCATGTCCTATTGGGAGGAGGCCTCGTGCAAGGCCCAAGACACGCTGGAGGGAATATGTCTCTGAGCTGGCCTGGTGTCGCCCCAGAGCAGCTGCAGCTTAGACTGCTGCCTCCACGACCCGGCATCAGATAAAGCAGAAGAACATGGATGGATGAGACCAAAACGTATAAATCATAAAGCAATGCTGTGTAAATTTTAGACACAGGAAACACTAGACCATTTACAAAATTAATCGGTCTCCCCCAGTATTTTGGGAGACCCAGTACTTTGGACCAACATATTGAGAAGTCATGTAGTTGAGAAGGCCATATTCAGCCCTTTAGATTAGATTCTACATCAGATAACCCTCCATTTCTGATAGATTATGTATCCTATATGTTTTGCTGCCTAAAAACAACTTTTAGCTTAGTTTACTTGGTGTTTAAGGGAACATCAGACTGCTGTAAAGCAGCACTTTAAATCATACGACTCATTCAGAGTTGGATCCAACCCTCTCGAGTTACATAGGCAAGTTTTGGAGTAGGGCAGCCACAAAAAGCAATGATACATGACTTGAGAAACTAACATATCTGTTTTAGCATGTCAAGTTAAGTTAATATCGGGGTCACAAGTTACGCAGTATTGCTTTAACCTTAAACTAATACATCACCTGTACTCATTTTGATTGATCAGTAATCAACCTTGTTTGAAAGGATTTTTTTTTTACTCGTAATGTTTGACATTTGTGTCCAAAACTTTACAGAGTCGCACAGATTTCAAGGACATGTTATGCCCAGAGCCTTATTCAGGTGACCCCACAGATTATCTCAGAGATTACATTTTTGAGGGAGTATTAATACGTCCACCCTCTCTACATTTCCAAACCACCTCTACTTTCCCTCTCATACTTTAAGTCCCAATGGCTCAACCTGCTGTTCCAGTTTGTTCACTTTAAGTGTATTATGTTCCTTTGAACCATCCAGCCTGTTCTCCTTTTATCACCACAATGTTGCGAGATAGGTTGCTGTTCACCTATATGTTGGGCGACCTGTTGCAACACCCTGATACCTTGTTCGTTACAGATATTCACAAGAAAAGCAACCATGCACACATACCTTAGCGCAATTTGAACTGTAGGAAGACTTCAGAGTATCTGGAGAGATAAACACTCCATATAAGATGAGTCGAGGTGCAGATTCAAACCAAGGACTTTTATAGCTAACTTTAGAACCACCGTTCAGCTTGGTAAGGCAAGGCAAGGCAAATTTATTTGTATAGCACAATTCAGTACAAAGACAATGCAAAGTGCTTTACATGATTAAAATACAGGAAGATTAAACAGAATCAAAGCAAGTAGGAGAAAAAATGCAGAAACAAAAAAGAATATTAAAAACAGTTGGGTTAGCATTTGATCAAATATTTCTCCTTGGGCAGTTGACAATTCCCCAGAACCTTGCCTTTTGTTCTACTACCATAGAACTGCAAAACCTTTCCCATTATCAACAGGTAATTTAACTCTGCCCAATATGCAATTTAACTCTGCCCGATACACACCAATCCTATGGTGCCAACCTGGATAACTGGGGGGGATCCCACTCTAGATTACTGACGTCTCAGTAAAATTAAGTACCTTCTGGTGGCACCTACAACCTTCCTCTCACTCTTAGAGAGAGCCTCACGTTCCTATGCGAGGTCTTTTGGTTCACAGGTGGAACAAAACCTGAACTGCCTTTCTGCTCCCCAAAAAGAAAAGTTATCTTTTATTTTGTATGTATATTCTTTATTATTATACTAATGCTAATGCTTTTGCAATTATTAATTTAAAGAAAATATGTTTTAGTTGAACTGCTTAACTAGAACAGTCGAAGGCAATCCTAAACAAATGTGTTTTTAGTCTTGATTTAAAGGAACTCAGGCTTTCCGTAACTTTTACAGTTTTCTGGAAGTTTGTTCCAGATAAGTGGAGCATAGGAACTAAATGCTGCTTCTCCATGTTTAGTTCTGGTTCTAGGTATGCAGAGCAGGCTGGAGCCAGAAGACCTGAGCGGTCTGGAGGGTTGATACACTGATAGCAAGGCTGTGATGTATTTAGGTGCTAAGCCATTCAGAGATTTATAGACTAACAGAAGTGTTTTAAAGTCTATTCTCTGAGATACAGGGAGCCAGTGTAAGGACTTTAGAACCGGGGTGATGTGCTCTACTTTCTTGGTCTTAGTGAGGACACGGGTACTTGTCTGAAAACCATCATTCATTTCATTTCAGAGCTCTATAGAAGACATAAAGTAATTTTCTTTTTACCCTTGAAGGACTTATTGAGTCACAAAATCATCAATCAAAGATCCTATCATTCACTGGCTGTAATTTAGATCCCTAGATCCAAGATTTAAAAGACTAAAAGTTTTCCACTGTTTCTCAGTAATAAAAAATCTTCAGTTCATGTAGGTAGAAAACAGAACCCTCACTGCATGTGGTATTTGTTTGATTTCGGGTATAATTTAGCTCCCTATTATGGTGCAGCCTCATGTTGATAAGGAATAAAACTAATGAAAAACTACATCTCTGTGCTTTTTTAAAAAACGGATTTGTACTAGATTGTCTGCACTTTAGGTTTTGTTTCACCACAATCTAATAGTTTCACATCTTCTTTTGTATATGGGTTAAGTTTTTATTTTATCAAAATTCCTAGTAAAAGGAAGTTTAAGAGGAGGCTCTTACTTGGCATAGGAAAGGCAAGGTAAGCTGATTTGTGTAGCACAAGTCAGTACAAAAATGAATCAAAGTGTTTTGCATAAAATAAAATAAAACCTAAAATAGAAGCAAGATAAAAGCATATAAAGATAAAAACATGATAAAAGAAAGGTCGTAAATTAAAACAGCTGCACCAAAAATTTAAACTAATGACACCTAAGTTTACAGTATTACTTTAATAGTTAAATGCAGTTCCAAAC